ATTATTATTGTAACACTATAAATATCTGATATAGATATACATGTCCGCCGTCAGATTCGGGAAAAGAATCTCCATTAGCCAATTGAAAGAAAATGACTAAGACAAAATGAATGAGAAAAGTTTTACTGAGTCTTTTATTGGCTCGGATTGGAGTTTATAAATTTCGAAGGTTACGAGCATACTTCACCTGGCAATTCGTATCTTTCAGTTCAACCAACAGAACTTCTTTAATAAACATTCAAAAGTTTCTATTAGACTGTTTGAAGGAAAGTTTGTCTGTCCGGCGAAGGAAAGTTTCTTCAAACAAATGGAAAGATTTAAGTTGGTAATCGATCGATCGACAGTTGCTTGCGGTCCTAACGGCCATTTTGTGTAATCAGCTGTTGACTGGAAAATTTTGTGCAAACTTATATTTTCATGAGTTTAGAAGTTAAAACTTAGAAGCTGCTTCGTCCTTCGAATATCTCAAGTAGACTGCGAATGTTTACGTAAATTTATATTTTTTTATGAAAGCAATCGAGGATCAAGGAACAATTTCTCTTAATATCGTAAACACGTCAATTTCATTAAATTTCACAAAATTATATAAATTATATAAATCGGTCAAATCCCTCGAGAATTTTATGAACAAGACTGTTGCATTTTGAAATTCAGTCGCGTAGGCATCAAATTAATGATACGTTTATTTTATGCCTTTGCAAATACAACGAAACGATTGGAGCTCAAATAAAAATTCATTTCATCCATTAAATATAAAATATTCTACTTTTAACACTCTATAATGTATTATTCATTTTATTTTATTTATAACATACAAGCATCCCGTCCATGTTATGCAACTTTGAATTTGCTCCTAAAAAAATGCACGAACAGTCTGCAGTCTATTTATAATGTAATGTAGCACCCTGGTAAGTGCACCAACATACGCTGCCTAGTATATATTAACAAAGTGAGACAAGCACGACGGCTGAAAAATTCAATTCAAACGAGTCGTAAAGCCCACGTGACGTTTCGTTCACGTTCGAATTGGCACGAACGAAGAGAGGCAAGTTGTTCACGGCTCGTAAAAGTAAAATCGCCCGCGAACCACTGCCACGGGGTTGGGTTTTACACGTCGCTAACACTTTTTCCCTGCCGTGGATCGCAAGAGCAACCCCCGGACTGCCCGGCTGAATTTATGGTTGCTCGACAAACCAGTCTGTGAAAAAGCTGCCGGGGGATCGTCTTCCGAGGAAGAAAATATCGAGGGAAGATTGGTGGCAGGCGTTATATGTCTCGGTGAGAAAGAGCTTTCGAGAAAAATGAAAGAGAAGGAATCCTGATGGGAATGGCTTGGCAAGAGAACCGTCGGATATGTTACAAGAACGGAAGTTAAATCGACATGCGTGAAATGACGGAAAGAAGAGATTCTACGCGGGATTTAGAGAAATGCAAGTCCGTGATTGTCCGACCAGTTTTTTTGATGAAACACATTGTACAATTTTTTTTCAGATTTTTATTTTATTATATATTTATTTGTTATTTTGTTATATATTTGAAATATATATATATATATATATGAATTAAAGTACATTTTATTAAAATAACAGAATAGTTATTTGTAGAAATTAAATAAGACAAAAAAAATTATTTTACCAAATATCGGTATGAAATAATTTAAAGAAAAACCATTTGCTTGTTCAAATAAATTAACGGAGAATAACATTGAATTAATTAAGATTGTTTAAATAATCATTTCTCAAATATTTTATTCAAATAATGCTCAAGCTTGTTGCATTGTGGCCATACTGTGCGAAACAGACGATTTACTAATAAAACTAACACGAGATTGAAATTGTTAATTGGTGAGATTTTTAGATTTTTTTTGCTTACTAAAAACGGAAGAAGAATTTACAAATTTATATATATATATATATCTGGAAAAAGATTATAAATTACGAAGGTAATTATTCTAACGAATAAAAGTTTCTGTATTGTGTTTGATATCTATTCTAAAAAAACTGCATGAATCTTCTTGATTACCAAATATTGAATTGAATTTATGATGTGAGAAAACATATTGTGGTAACTTTGAAAGCTTTAAATTACCTAGGACGGGATAAAATAGAAAAGTAATAGCTGAGTTTGTTCTTAAAGGATCTATCACTAGAGAGAACATGGAACAGGGGATTTTCTCTAGATCTCTAGGACTTCTGATAAGGAACAAGTACCTCTCAAGTCAATGGCTTGATTTCAAGATCTATAGTAATTCTACTGCCACTGGCGACGCGATGTGTAACTCTCTGAATTTACAAACAACCATCACATCGTTCGGCTTACCTATTGAAGAAATTTACAGCAAACTGTACAAGATAAATTACGTAGTTAATGTAATGTGATTGGTAGAAGTTGCATGAAAATATTACATTAAGAATGGAACGCAATTATAGCTGAAGCTCCCAGAATAAATAGCTGGATTAACTAATAACCATTTCTTCATCTGCTAATAATTCGGATTCACTCCGTTTTTATAATAAAAGGATATAAATCCCAAATGAGATTTAAATTGCTCGGGAGTTTTACTTTGATATTTTAAACATTCCGCAAGATGTAAAGTTTAAGTCTGTGAATTTCGGTTCTATGAAATGAACAATTTGAGTTTACAAAAGCATGATCGTTAAACATGTGAAATGGCAAGAAGATGGAAAAAGCGACACAAACTTCTGCATTTCTAGTTGTTTCAATTCCTTAAGATGGCTTGGAAAATGTACACACCTGGATATTGAAAGGATGGAATGTTTTACACCAAAAAAAAAAAAAAAAAAATCAAGAACAGTTAACGTTCCACAAATTTTAAACAATGTTAGATAATTTTCCCTTCTTTCTTTCTTCTTTCTCCATCAGTGTGAAAGGAGTAAATACAGCAGACCGAATTTCGCAATTACCGAAAATTGCTCGGAGTCACTTTACTCGGAGGAAATTCAATATCGCGGTTTCGTTTTTCGTGCGAAGATCGGGCTTTCGAGATTCGATGCTAAGACAGGGGATGAAGAGAGGAGGAAAGAAAAGAGAGCAACAGAATACTGTTTGATTACGTGGATTTGTTACCGTCTGACAGCAAACTATGTATTTCCCTGTCTTTCGACACCTAATACAGCTTTCAGAAGAATCAGAAACTCCCTGAGAAAGAAATTCCATTGATTTTCTCTTTTTTTTCTGTTAAAATTTGTTAAAATAGAGAAATTGATTGAAAAGAGAAAAATTAAATTGAAACATTTACCAATCGTAAGAACGGGTTAAATATACCGTTAGCTCAATGTCGATCAACAAAATTACAATTGATCATTTTTACTCGTCACGCATCAAACTCGTCAAGATCGAATAATCTCTCTTATCGAATAATTTCGCTTCCAAGAAATGTGTTGGTGAACGCTTGCGTCACATTCTCGCCAATGTCAGTTCCGAAGTCGAAAGACACGAAACAGGAAGGACAGTAATCCTTTTGAATGCGCCTGATTCGTTTAAACGTAGGAGATTGGACAGTGTCCGGATGCTGCTGCGTTCAATCCCTTGGAAGCCGCGCGAGTTCCAATCGAATCACAAGCTTCGCCGAGCTTGCAAGGCAAATCTACCGCAAACTCGGTCGGTAAAGGTGGCTGGACACCGCTTTACATTTATTAATCTCTCAGACCGCCATTCTTCCCGCTCGAAGTCGAAGCTGAGTGTTACGATTGCACGTCAATTTCGCTTTATAACTGATTGCAGTCCCATAATCTGGGTCTCTCAGTACCAGGAGGTGCGCGTGAAGGACAGCAAGAACGATCAAGACGCGAGGAACTTTGTTCCAGTCTGTCTGACCATGGCTGACACTAGCACCACCGTGGCGTTCTTCCTGCTTCTGGTCATCCTCTTCTACATAGTTCCGTTGTTGATTCTACTGGTGCTGTACACGTTCATCATTAGACGATTGATGCCGGATTCCGGCAACGCCGGCGACTCTTACCACGCAAGAGCGAAGAAACACGCGATTACGATGTTACTGTCGGTGGTCGTCAGCTTCTTCGTCTGTCTGTCGCCGTACAGGATCCTCATCTTTTACATAGTGGTCGCGCCAGCTGAACAAATCGCAGCCATCGATCGTGACACGTTCTTCGCCTATCTCAATTTCAGCAGGATCATGTTTTACCTGCACAGCGCCATCGATCCGATGTTATATAATTTGATGAGTAGTAAGTTTAGAAAAGGGTTCTCGGACCTGTGCAGAATGAAGAAGCACTCCAACTCCAGGGGACGTGGTAGGAACAATGTGACTGCAGGAGCTAGAAAAGTCGATGCTAGCGAACAGGAAGAAAACTTTGTGTGATACTTATTTACGTAATTCACGCGATGCCGCTTGTACTACCGGTGTACTTACATTTTCAATTAAAGCGCTAATTAAAGAGTGTGACCTCGTTTACGGTATTGTAAATAGCTGTTTATGCAAGTATTCTTTGTTACCGACCGATGATAATGTTCTAATTAGTCAATGGTCTAATTGAAACCGTATCGACAGTAACTAAAAATAACATTCCATGCTGTTCTATCGAATTAAATTACTATAATAAATTTGTAAATACATTTGAAGAATAAAATCCTTTTATACATGTATCTTTCCGGATTTTTAAATACATGTTAATTAAATAAATTAATAACTATAAAATATAAACTTATTATTTATTGATCATCTTAAATATTATTCCCGTTATTTTTAACGATAGAAAAAAGGTACATATGTACAAAATAAACAAAAATAGAAGAATATCAAAATAAGAATATTGAAATATCGTGAACCAATTATTAAAGAGAGAAAAACTATCTATTTACAGCCCGATGCTGCTGATGGCCACCTACGAAGAAGAAGAGATGAAGAACGGCACGTACATTCCGACTTGCAACATTGTTGCAAACTCGTTCTGGCCGATCAGTTTTGTCCTGTTCACCATCGTCGTATTCTTCGTGATCCCGCTGTTCATCCTCGTGGTTTTGTACACGGTGATCGCACGTCATCTAATGACGAACTCGACGATCAGCCGCGGCTCGTCGAACAACTTGCTCAAATACCGCAAACAGGTGATGCTGATGCTCGGCACAGTGGTGTTCTGTTTCTTCTTGTGCCTGTTGCCATTTAGAGCGCTGACGCTTTGGATCCTGGTCGTCCCAGTCAAAGTGATCGTCGACTTCGGTATCGAGCGTTACTTCACCCTGCTCTACTTCTGCCGGGTGATGTTCTACCTGAACTCCGCCATCAACCCAATTCTGTACAATCTGATGTCCACGAAGTTCAGGGAGGGATTCCTCAGGCTTTGCGGCCTTGGTCCCCACAGGAAGAAAAAGAAGAAAACGTCGGAGAAAACTGGCACTTACACCACTGGCTCGACCAACTGCAGCAGCAATCATTCCGAGTTCTGGAGGAGGCACAGCAGTAATAAGAGCAGCAGCGTTAAGGCGCCTTCCAACAATATCGTCGCGGAGAAACAGATCAAAGTGCCGCTTCAGACGACGGTCGTTAGCGGAAGCGTCGTTAGAAAGAAGCAGGAGAGTTACGTTTGAAAGGATACGACGAGACTAAAGCAGGATCATCCTTCAAGACTGTGATCGTTCGCATCATTCCGCCACATTGAGAGTACAGTCAGAGGAGGAGATGCGGTGAAGTCATAAAATTGGTTGAGAAAATCAGGATTAATATCTTTCTAAGTTATACGTTTATCTCTTACTAAGTTATACGTTTCGATATTTAACTAACTGTGTAGACTAATTTTTGCAGTACGACGTTCACACGTTTCAGGCAATGTCAAGCAACACAATTTCACGAAAGACATACATAGTCTACAATTCGGAGTTCAATGGTTGTTTAAAGGAATTAGAATTTACAGAATATGAAGAAAATGATAAAATTTAAATACATGCAAATAGTAGTATAATTTAAGTTAAGAAAGACAAATGAAGACAGGAATATGTAATTGCTTTTGAGTTACTTTGTACAAGGAAATAGTCCTAAAAACGTAATTATAATCCAAATAGCAAATATCGCCGCTTAATTCTGTAATTTTCGACTTCACTGTATCAATTCCACTGACTATATTATTTGGTGTCGTTCATACTCGTATGTAGATCGTACGTACTTCATAGTGACTTTGTTTATTTGAAACTAATCTAAAGAAGTTGAAAGACAGTGCAATGATTCATTTAATATTAAATATTATTTAGCAGTCTACTTTCACTATTTGTATCTAGCGTGAGAGAGAGAGAGAGAGAGAGAGAGAGAGAGAGAGAGAGAGAGAGATCTTAAAGAGACTTGAAACTATTATTTTCTGTATAAAAAACATTAATCTACATAAGATTATGAACGATAAATTAGGGTCGAATTATCGTTGCGCAGAATTTTGGAAGCTGTGATCATAAATTATGTAAATGTGTATCTTGTAAGCATTAGAACAGAGAATAATTATATACATTTAGATGAATTAAAGATAAGTTGTACAGTGCAGTGGATAAAATTGGATTAATTTTTAAGTTACCAAATGGATCTCAGTTTTATAGCTTTACTTTAACATATAACGATAAGATTCATTGCTCGTTCGAATTGCTTTGTTCAATTCTCAGTTTTCATGAATGTTCAAAATAATCGAGTTTCTACGGAAATTTTAAGTTCCTATACGCTGGTCGAACTACACTAACTGGTATTAACTTCGAATATTATAACGACAACTGTTACAATAATTAGAAATATTTCTAAGATATACATAGATATAGCTATTTTCCATAAAGTGTCGGAACTAGTCTGCAAGCTTTAAATAATTATTTATTCAATTACAGTTACAGCGGAACATGTACGTCGCTCACAAACGTAGCAATAAATAACGGATTGATTTGTGCGTTAAATCATTCCGATAGTCTTTCAAAATTGTACAGCGTTTAATTCGTAAATGTATGAACACTTGTATCTTACAGTAGGAATCATTTGACGCAAGAAAAGTATTAAAATATCTAGGACACGCGATAAAACAAACTGGTTAAGGCGGTTCTCATGCTATAAAAACTTTGTTCCTTAATTGTCTGCGAAAAGTTTGCTTTCAATCGTTTATTATCGAATTATTACTGATTCTCAGCTGCGCAAGCTAATTCACAATTCATTTTTATTATGCAAGATATACGTTTCTGTAAATATTTTGTAAAATAAAGTTTAAATATTATTACCGATCTTTTAAATTCGAATAATAAAACAAATCTTCAAGTCAGAATGATAAAAAGAACACGAAACGAACATATTTCACGTTACGTATACTAATAAACGACATTAACCCTGTAGTTTTTTAATTAAGTAAGTTACCTAAAAAAAAAAAATAATAAGTTACCTAAATAAATACAATAATAAAAGGAGAAGGCTAACGTGACTAGAATCGTTGCATTAATAAACTTTGTTTCACGAATATTATATCGTTAGCTAAATTATCAGGTTTAACGACAATGGAATCTACGTAATAACCCTTCGAGCTCATGAAATGTATCAACTCCTTTTTATCGTTCTTAATGTGGGAGAATTCTACAGAGAGCGTCTGAAAATTTCGCGAATAGAAAATCATTCAAGATCCAATTATAAAATGGTGAGAAGTGAGATAAAATTCACCTCTATGTTTATCCTATCGAAAGGAATCGTTTCCAGCACTTGAAGCTCGTAGCCCTCTATATCGAGACTGAAATAATTGACGGTGGTCACATTAAGGGCAGCCATTAAATCTATGAACGGGAAACACTGCACTGAGATATGGACACCATTGTGAGCAACGTCAGAGGAATTCGGTAAATCTTCGTCAGGATCATGTAGGTCGTGAAGACGTCCGATATTTTTGGCCATCAAGAAGGTACTCTGAACATTGAACAAGCGTAAAAAGAAAAAAAAAAATAGTACGAGAAATATAAAATGATGTCGTGATACAATCTGTTGCGTAAATTTTCTACGACAAATGACTTTTGTACCACTGTAGGATATGGCTTAATGGAAAGACAGGTAGCTGTTAGGTAAGCTATTCTGTTTTTGTCCATCATGTTGCTGAAATTTAAAGGATCCGCCTCTATCAAAAGACCGTCCCAGCCCAGGAATCGCTCCAGCACCAAAGTGTTGCTTCGAGTCTCCCCGTCGTAAGCGCCGCACTCCACGAAAAAGCCATTTTGCTGTAAAAACAACGTTTGCGTCACCAACTACCACATGCGTCAAGAATTGAAATTACTGACAGGTATTTGTCTCGTCGATCTCGTACTTGACAACTCGTAATTGATCAAATACAAGTGTTAGAAGTAATTGAGTTTTGTAACCGTGTTGCGATATTGAAAGTATTAAAACTGCAGTATTACCATATTTTTCAAAATTTTTCGAATTCTACGTGCTTGGCCCATCGAGTGATCTTGGATCTCCGGATTTTTAAGATTATACGATTCCTTCGGATTGTGTCTCCGAATTATCCAATATTTTTGAATCTCGTTCAAGTAGTGCCGCCAATGTTTCGTGTCCGATGATTGTACTTTGTTATTATACCATCCAGTACCTAACGACAATTCGCAGCTGATTTACAATTGGACTAATCAAAAGATTATGCAAATTTTACGGGGAAATTGAATTTCAAAGGGGACACTCGATAAATACGTGTCAATTTGTAATTTACAAGTGTCAGTGGTATTTAATAACCCATTGCTTGCAGTGCCCTCGATTTAGTGCCCTTTAACAAGCGGTATTAATAACTTGGTAATTGAATGACACGCGGGCTGAACGTGTTTAATTAAACTAGACGTTACAAGTTGTAGACGTGATTTAAGTAGCTTCACGAGACATCTTTGGAACATATATGTATGTAAAATTATATCGTGAAATATATATTTATATCATAAAATTATATTATAATATACACATGACATAATGTACATGTTGAAATAAAAAATTGTCTCTTTTCGTCTTTGAAAATTTCGTAAGATTTTGATTAACGATACATTAAACAGAATATGATTCCAAATTAAAGACCATTTTAATTGATTTCATTAATTTTTTTTTTTTTTAGAATAAATAGTAACAGCAGTTGACATTGCCGACCGAGCATTTTTACCGATTACCGATTAAAAAGAAAAAAAATGACTTCGTTTTTACTTGGTATTATATTTCAAATATTATGTATCGATGTTCATTTCGTCACATCAGCCAACATTTATTACGAAATGATCATTCAATGACCAATTATGTTTTACAGATGTGAAAATTAACGAACAATAATTATTAACGCCTATACATCAAATGAACTTCACTTGAGATTTGGTTCGATGCTGTGATTGATGTTCTTTTTTTTTTATTACGTTTATGCATACATAAGTGAACAATGCGTCATATAATCATGGCGATAACGATAGTTACAAATTGTTTTGATTGGTTGTGGTATAAATCACAGATTAGTAAAAGACATACTTACTTTAATTAGGATTTGGAATCGATGTTAGTAAGCAAATTTTGAATCCAAATACAAACGTAAATAGAGTGTGTCTTGATCATTGGGAATTAACTAGGAAATATAATGTTAACGTAGCACAATTGATTAAAAAATAAGAGAAACAAATTAAGCAATGTAAAATTTTCCACAATATAAAATCTTTTATAAAAACATATGTATATAATAAGGCAAGTAACCGATTTTCTGGACTCACCGTTGGTAAAGTTATACCACCTATTCAAAACTGTAAAGATAAAGATTGCTATTAGTGACACATTATGACACATATTCTAACGATACATATTATTAACGATAATCTTAGAACATCACACGTTTTGGCAATTTTAATTTATATATCTTTTGTTCTTATTGAAATCACGCACTAGAATGTAAATTCTCAACAAAAAAAATTCAAACGATTTCTACCGGTAACATATAAATACATTGTGATTATTTTAACGATTTCTGGAATATCTATTTAATATCAACAACAATACCATGATACGACATAATTTTATATTATTATTTATATTTATATTTTTAATTATTATTAACTCATTAAATTTTAATTATATATTATATTATAGATTTTATATCTCATATTTTTAATTTCATACTATATATTGGAATATTTATCTAATATCAACAAAAATACTTATCAATACGATACAATTTCACATTATTATTTATTATAATTCTCATAGTTATATTTATTATTATAATCCTTGCTGGTTAGACAATTTTGCTTGATTCATTCGTTATTTCAATAATATTGTTTCCCGGTGACAATATCTAAAGCGATGCACAATTAATAAAAAACACGTACCCTCAGGTTTCACCTTCGCCAATTCATCAGGCGCATCCTGGCTCAAAGGAAGATGGAACGTGGCCACGAATTGCAAAATTAAAATACTCAGTCCGATGCCTAACAAAGCGATCACCAAGTACCATTTCCTGTTGTAATGCGTTTTCGAAATACAAATGCATGTAGGCTGACAGCAGGAGACTATACCGGACATTTTTTCTAAACGCTTATAAGACACTGACTGATTGGTGATACAATCTCATGTGCAGCGAGAGAAGTGAACTCGTAAAACGTTATACATATATATATA